CCTTCCAGCTGCTTGGCTGTCCCCTGGAGGCCTCCGACGTAGGTGGAAGGCCTCAAGAGGGGCCGAAGGGGCCGCCTCCGCTTCCTTCCAGCTGCTTGGCTGTCCCCTAGAGGCCTCCGACGTAGGTGGAAGGCCTCAAGAGGGGGCCAAGGGGCCGCCTCCGCTTCCTTCCAGCTGCTTGGCTGTCCCCTAGAGGCCTCCGACGTAGGTCGAAGGCCTCAAAAGAGGGCCAGCGGGCCGCCTCCGCTCCCTTCCAGGTGCTTGGTTATCCCCTAGAGGCCTCCGAAGTAGGTGGAAGGCCTCAAGGGGGGCCCACGGGGCCGCCTCCGCTTCCTTCCAGCTGCTTGGCTGTCCCCTGGAGGCCTCCGACGCAGGTGGAAGGCCTCAAGAGGGGCCGAAGGGGCCGCCTCCGCTTCCTTCCAGCTGCTTGGCTGTCCCCTAGAGACCTTCCACCACCGAGTTCCACCACAGACCACACCACAGGGGGGGGGACCGTCCGGCCCCGAATCACATATACTATCATGCGGCAATATAGATATCTCCGTAGTCCAAGGTTAAGGTTAAGGTTGAGGGTCCACCGCTTCGCGGCCAAGCCGCACCTGCTAGGACAACGTGGGTCCAAGTGAGTATATATTTACACAGAACATAATGCTGAAGCACAAGAAACACGGACAAACCACATGAGACGAAGACCGTATCAAGTCTACTATGAAAAAGTTTGCCCCCCGACAAACTAGAAAGTCAGCAAATGTGTAGCAGTGGGAATAGAAGCTTCGTCCTCTGTGCTTGAAGGTATCTATGGAAAAATGCCAAAGATTTTTTCACTCGTTCTAGTGCTTCCAGAGTTCGTCTCCTCCGTCTTCTACTGCTAGTGCGCATAGTTTATTCGACAAGGGAGTCGTCGGGATTGAATATGCTGGTTCGCACTCAGCAAAGCCACTTTGTTTTCCACACGACCCGCACACGCATTAAGGTCTGCGCTCTACGGAAAAAACTTCATAAGCGCTCATCCTTGTTTGTATATACCTGAACGCAGGACAAGGAGGGATCGTACTCACTCCAGAATAAGGTAGCTGCACACTGCTCGAAAGAGCAGTAGTAGTACTACTGCTGCGCTCGAAACGAGAACTCCACAACTACTGCTAGTTCCACTACTGCTCCGCACACGTGTAATGCTCTGCGCTCCGCACTAATTCCATTACTGCTCCACACACGTATCTATACATAATGCTCTGCGCTCCGCACTAGTACACGTATCGCCCTAGTGCGTTCTGTCCCTCTGGTGATAATTCGAGTCTTCTAACTGAGTACTCAGAAGTACAAGCAGACAAACTCTATGATCGAACCGTAGACCATTAAATCCAAGAATAGTACATTAAGTAGGGTCAATTGTCATACTAGATCAATGAATAGGCATCTGATGTACTTAATGTGCTAATAATCCACTCGCCATCAAATACACACCAACAAAAATTTAGTGCTAACGACGATTTTGGTTTTCCATTTTCCGGCGTCTGAGCAGCACACGTACAGCGTCGCCACTTTTCTAGTACATAGACAATTACCTCCGTCTATGATGAAGTACACATGGATAATTCCGGTATACATCCCTTCGGCTTAAGTACACAATAGAGAGGCGACTACCCACGTATCATATAAATTCGAAGTTTCTTGCTCAACTTAGTTGAACGAAGGAATATTAAGATGACTCACCTCAACATCGGGCGCGCCGGCCTTTTCTTGGTCTCACCAGTCATCTTAACAATAACAGCTACGTATACTAGTATAAGCATGATAGATTCGACGTATCACCATGGCTCGTCCTTGAGGTATTCCTCAGGTTGATGCAAGCGGTCTTTGAAGCACTCTCGTGATGCAGCACTCGTTTTTAGCTGATTTCTCAGTGACAGAGCGTCCTCACCTTGCGGTGACAGAGCGAATTCTTGCTGCGGTAGCGGTGATAGGGCGCACTCGTTTGCACGCTGAACAGAGCGCACTCGTTTGCACGCTATACAGAGCGCACTCGTTTGCACGCTATACAGAGCGCACTCGTTTGCACGCTATACAGAGCGCACTCGTTTGCACGCTATACAGAGCGCACTCGTTTGCACGCTATACAGAGCGCACTCGTTTGCACGCTATACAGAGCGCACTCGTTTGCACGCTTCTATTAGCGTTCAGCTCTCGTCCGCACGCAATCCAGTATGGAGCACTCGGCCGACAGACCGTACTCACGTTTCTCGGTGACAGAGCGCACGCACGTTTCTCGGTTACAGATCAGCATCCGCGACAGTCACGACCGCGTCCGCAGGATGGGGTCCCTACCTTATGCGAAGGAGGGACCACCAAAGCAAGAGGTTGACGGGTAGAACAACGAAGACCATGGCATGTGAATTTGAGTTGCTTCAACCAATCATGTAAATTTTAAGTTTATTTACACACGAGGACCACTTGCATAGATCTTTACCAAACAGCAATTGTCAATAAATTAATATATGTATGATTAATCAAACAATCAGATAAAGATGAATCAATAAAGATCAAGATGTAGATGTACATGTTGATGAATCAATAAATATGCACATGATGAATCTCCAATAAAGATGCACATGTTGAAGCAGGTAAATTTGAAACAGGTCTTGTTGTTGAAGACAGCAATCGGAGTAACGAAGTCATATGAAAATACTCACTTACTTAGATTCAACATATTTGATATGATAAATAAGTAAGTACTGAAACTTAGACAAATAAATATTGAAACAAATTGCGAAGCACATCAATCTTTTCATAGGATATTATGTAACTTTGTCTCTCTTTCAAGATGAAGCAAAAACCACCTTTGCATTTTTTTGCGTTTTCTGACCACGTACAGCGATTGCGAACAGGGGGGTTAGAAGGGCTACAACTTTGGGGACCGAAGGGGGGGTACTCAAAGCTTGCGGGGTAAGCAAGCTACATTTTTCATGATGTAAGCCAGTGCAAATAGATCAGTGACGCGGTAGCTCTATGCTATGAAGGACGCTATCGTTTGAGAAAATAATGATGAATGGACTAGACTGTATGTTGATAATTTGAAAAAATAGTACGAAAGCCTTGTGCGCTCTGCAAAATCCTTGTAGCGCACTTTTTCTTGCAGCCAGATATTATGTTGATCCAGGCTGTTCACTGTGCTACCGACTGACGCACTCAATTGTTTTGCAAGTAGCAGACTTGATCTGCAATAATTCAGGAATAAGAATAAACGTATGACTAGATAGTACATGTTACTCAATGTGACGCCGCTAATTCGATTTAATAATTTGAAAAAAAAGTACGAAAGCCAGCCTTGTGCGCGCTACCAAATCTTTGTAGTTGTAGCGCACTTTTTCTTGCAGATATTATAATGGTCAAGGGCGTTCAGTGTGCTACCGACTGACGCACTCAATTGTTTTGCAAGCAGCAGACTTGATCTGCAATAATTCAGGAATAAGAATAAACGTATGACTAGATAGTACATGTTAAGTACTCAATTTGACGCCGCTAATTCGATTTAATAATTTGAAAAAAAAGTACGAAAGTCAGCCTTGTGCGCGCTGCCAAATCCTTGTAGCGCACTTTTTCTTGCAGATATTATAATGGTCAAGGGTGTTCAGTGTGCTACCAACTGACGCACTCAATGCTTTTGCAAGTAGCAGACTTGATCTGCAATAATTCAGAAATAGGAAACGCATGACAAGATAGTGATAGTACATGTTACTCAATGTGACGCCGCTAATCCGATTAAATAATTTGAAAAAGAAGTACGAAAGCCTTGTGCGCTCTGCAAAATCATTGTAGCGCACTTTTTCTTGCAGCCAGGTATTATGTTGATCCAGGCTGTTCAGTGTGCTACCCACTGACGCACTCAACTGTTTTGCAAGTAGCAGACTTGATCTGCAATAATTCATGAATAGCGCAATAATTCATGACTAGCAACCGTATGATTAGATAGTACACGCTACTCAATGTGAGTGTGACGGTGCTAAAGCTAATCCGATTTAATAATTTGAAAAAAAAGTACGAAAGCCTTGTGCGCGCTGCCAAATCTTTGTTGTAGCGCACTTTTTCTTGCAGATATTATGTTGATCCAGGCTGTTCAGTGTGCTTCCCACTAACACAGCCAACTTTTGTGGAAGCACAAGACTTGATCAGCAACGATTCGAGGAAACCCTGGCATATCACGTCCCTAGAGTAAGTAACCAATCTCGTCCATCGACCAGAAACAGTATCAAAAGTATCAATCATGAGGAGCAAGAAGAACAGTCCCAATCTAACCGCTGAATATGACTCCTACCCGAAGAGCCGCACACTCGACCCTTGTAGAAAACCTGAGACACAATCCGACGCAGCGGGGTCCTGCAAGCAAGTCGACACACCTGCAGAGGCAGGACACGCCGCAAGACAGGCGATGGATAAGGATATGGCCTAACCCCTACTTGGTTTGTTCAATCACCGTCAGAAGCAGAAAGGCAGCTATAGACCTAACACAATTGCCCTAGTAATGTTACCAATTTCCAGAAGCGCTTTATTGCCTACTTATGCCTATGCTATGGCTATCTAGCTTGTAGTTTTTATATCACCTAGACACACCAAGTCAGGCGACCAACTATGGGGCTCCAACGCTACATAGAGAGAAAGAATAACATCCACCCGAACAAGCAACCCGTAACCACGCCGCAGGCAGGCCGGACACCCGGGGAGGAAGTGCGCACCCGCTGGCACCTGTCGCCCTTGTTCGCTAAAAAGTGCGCACATCCGTCATGCGTTTGGCATACGCCCCACCTGCTGCGCCAATACCCACGCGACTAAGTAAGCAGCAAGTAATCAAATCAGCTTCCACAACTTTACCTACCCCGCAGCAGGCAAGCCGGACAGCCGGGGAAGAAATGCGCACCCGCTGGCACCTATCGCCCTTGTTCGCCAGGTGCGCAGATCCGTCACCCGTTTGGTATACGCCCCACCTGCTGCGCCAACACCCACCCCCACGCGACTGAGGAAGCAAGAAGTACTCAAATAAGCTGCAACAACTTTACTTAGCCCGGAACAGGCAAGCACGACACCCGAGGAGGAAATGCGCACCCGCTGGCACCTGTCGCCCTTGTTCGCCAGGTGCACAGATCCGCCACCCGTTTGGTATACGCCCCAACTGCTGCGCCAACACCCATGCGACTAAGTGAGCAGCAAGTAATCAAATCAGCCGCCACAACTTTACTCACCCCGCAGCAGGCAAGCCGGACAGCCGGGGAGGAAATGCGCACCCGCTGGCACCTATCACCCCTGTTCGCCAGGTGCACAGATCCGTCACCCGTTTGGTATACGCCCCACCTGCTGCGCCAACACCCACGCGACTAAGGAAGCAGCACGTAATCAAATAAGCTGCCACAACTTTACTTACCCCGCAGCAGGCAAGCCGGACACCCGGGGAGGAAATGCGCACCCGCTGGCACCTGTCGCCCTTGTTCGCCAGATGCACAGATCCGTCACCCGTTTGGCATACGCCCCACCTGCTGCGCCAACTCCATAAGCCTGCGCACCTTCTGGCTAGACGCGGACCCCGCTGGCATCGGGCGCCCTTGTTCGCAAAAGGTCCCCGCCAGCTAGATAGGCGCGCAAGCAGATCGACAGGAGCTGGGTCGATGTAGGAAAACAGCCACGCCGGCAGGGGTACTTTGTCGCCTGAAGCTTGTTCGGCTTGTGCTGCGTTGCCGGTTGCTGCAGCTTGCGTCTCAGTAGCACCTTAAAGCCACCGAAGCCGTGGCATCCACAAAAACGCGCTTACGCTCGGCAACACTAGCCCTGGCGCCGCGGTGCGAGAAGCTCTCGAGCCCATCAGCCGAAGCCAACACTGGTAACAGCAGCACGAAGATGACGGAGCTCGCTGCAGGTGCTGGAGTGAGCTGGGGCGGAAGCCTTGCACACAGGAAGCCAAAAACGAAGACGAGGAAAGATATCCACTCAGATCTCAGATGGCTTCTGCTAATCACGCCCTCTGAGCCGGAGTCCAGAAACCGCCCGAAGCATGAAGATGTAGTGGACGGCGTGCCTTCTGACTTTGCCGCCGATGTCGGAGACAACAGTCCTGCACCCGCTGAAGAGGACCATTTCAGACTCACTATCCCCTCACCTTGGGCTTGTGTTTCTACTCCTCCTCTGCTTTCATGCGATGCTGGAACTCTGTTATCCTCCACGTCCTCGTCGTCACACGGGTTGCACAAAGAGACATCATCTTCGTTGTCCGTTGTAAGCAGTGCGTCACTCGTCCTGCGGATCAAAGACGTGGGATGAGATAGTCTCTCTTGTCTGTCCTCTACGAATGGGCTACCTGTTGGAGCAGGAATACGGGACTGGACTGCGACGGCATTGGCATCAGCATCTGCAACCGCCGCAGCTACCTCTATAGTGCCAATGCCAGTTCTTTCAAAGAAGGGCGTTAGAGAATAGAACATCGGTCGCTCGCGTACCAGGACAAACGCGAATCGAAGCGGATCTGCAGGCAGAATCAGCTGCAACTGCACCAAGCCAGTGCCACCCGCTTGTGTCAGTACATACTCGGTGATCTCGCCTGTCAGCGTGCAGTCTGCGTTATTCTGGTCGATAATCGTGGCGGGGGCCATAATGCTGCCCCCAAAGAAGCAATACATGCCAGGCATCAAGGTCTTACCGCGCACTTTGAGCGTTGTCGTGCCCGCGCGCGTGATAATGCGTGGCAATGCATCAATTGAGAGAGCGCGAATACGTGCGGCCAGCGGCACCATCGCGTGTTTTTGAGGTTGTGACGGATCAATCAAGCTTGCAAAGGCCGTACGCACTTGCACCGCGACTACGGTGTCTGCTGGCACGAACTCAGGCGTTCGACAGTTGATGATCGAACTGGGACTCAGATGCGCCACATTTTTGTCTGCGCGAGAGGCTACGCGTGATCCGAAGATGCAAGTGGTCAAAAATTGTGTTTCCGAGAAGTGCGCGCTGTGCAGAGTCACCCACTTCTCGTAGCCTTCAGCATTGAACATCGTCGGGCACATGGCGCGCAGCTCGGGCACATCAGTTGTGAAGTAAAGGCTCGGGCCCATACCCACCTGCGCGGCTCTACAACGTAGGGTCAGCGTCACCTTCGTGGCGGCACTGAAGCGTGGAATCGTCACTGTGATCAACTCAGACGTCTGCGCCAACGCTGGCGTCGGCAGTGAGTCGAGGCGCAGCTCGCATTCGTCACTGCCGATCGCGAACAGAGCGCCCCAGACCGTCAGACCCTCGTATGGTGTCCGCGTGTACGGCAGGCTGTCGAGGCAGAAGAACAGTTTTTGCGGTGTTGCCATGTATTGCGAGGGCAAAATCGGTGTCGAGATGCGCTCCTCGACGTTGATCGCTTGGGTCGCGGTCTGTTGAAAGAACGACGCTGGTGCGCGGCCCTGTGCCAAAGTGTCATCGCGCGCCAAAGCATCTATAACGCTATCGCCGATGCGGCACCAGATGTACGGATACGGAATCATACTGATTGCGAAATGCCGCTCCAAGTCGGAATTCATGGCATTGAAGTCCCCTCGTGTCGGATCGTCGTCGAGGCGGTTACTCATATTATGCCCCTTGATGCAGGCGATGTAGCAGTGGAAGTTGTAGACGTAAATTGTGAGCGTCTGGTTGATGTAGGCGCCAGCGATCACCACCTCGTGCTCGCTCTTCGGCTGCCTCTTCGAGTTTTCCAAGAAGCGCTCCCCTATGGGCAGCTTGTTGGGATCCATAGCGATGGCGTCGCGCTCGGTGGCAATGATGGTATCGAAGGATGCCGCATCGCCTCCGGGAAACCGCAACACCTTCTGCGGGTAAGCCGCGCTATACTCAATCATAGGCTGAAGCGCCGGGGGCGACGTCAGTGCAGCGCTCGATTCGTAGCCCCTATTGCGTCCAGCGAAGTCTGAAGAAAGAAGTGAAGTCGTGAAAGGATAACACATCGCCATCTAAAAATGCCAGCTCTAGTTTACGGCAGATCACAGTACTACTCCGCACGCTCTCAAATGTAAGAGTTGACTTTTCCTAACTTATCATCACAATCACAGCTCGCAAAGAAAAATCTAAAAATTAGTATAAATACTGTCTCCGTGTTCCCTTCCTCGTACTTCGACAAAAAAGACGGGCAGCTCGGTGTAAGACTTCATGTGGGATGCAACGGCCCTGAGGTCATCCTTGAGCAATGAGTCCGACATATACCGGATCTCAAAGGTCGGTAGGTTACGCTGGGGCGGCTCTCCGAGCCAGTAGATACGCGCGCGGGCACGCGGCTCATAGAGAGAAATACCTGAGAAAAGTAAGAATGAATAGTGGATGCAAACATAGGTCAGTCGAGGAGAGACCATCGACTAGTCAAGAGCCAGTTGTAGCAGTACGCAAATACGAATTGTTTTTGTACTCCCTTAATAATTGTCTTTGATCCATACAAATAATATTACTCTTACTGCAAGAGGCAGAGGGCCAGAACGGGTAATAAATCAAGATCAAAATGAAAATTGAGTGTCATGTGTTGAAAGTACTTCCGCAGCAACACAAATCAAATGGATGGAGAACTTCATCAAGTAGAAAGGGCACTACCGTTGAAGGGAACGCTGCTTGCCATTCGGGCTCCACGGACCAGAGAGCGCAACTGCATGACCACGATTTCTGTGTTTGAGTTTGATTCAGATGCGGCGGCGAAGCCGCAGTCCGTGCCTGCTTTGACGCGGTCCGGACCGACCATCTGTGCCAGTCTGCAGAGGCGCTGCGCCACCAAGTTGGGGCTTTCCACGTGCGGCGAGCTGGTGTCGACACAGCCCAGCGTGATCACAGCGTTGTGGATTTGCGCAATCGCGTCAATCTTGTCCTTGTCGCGCGGGTTCGCAATTTCAATCAGCAGCTCGGAGCACTTAATCAGATTGAGGATATCAACGATCTTGTCCAGCGAGGTGCCCCGATGATGCGAAAAGCCGTAGTTGCCCCAGCACATGTGTACGCGCACCTGCGAAGGGGGCAATACCTCGATCGACAAGTTGAGAGCCTTGATGAGGCCTTTTTGCACCAGAATGAATTCACGGTCGGACATCTTGTGGATTTGCGTGTGGCGACCCATGGCCAGATCGCGGTCCGTCTGCAACATGAAGCCGCGGCGCACAGCCTCGCGGGATTCGTGCGCCACCGCACTCGCGGGAGTCTCCAAGTACTCGCCTTTCGTCTGATCGTACGCATTCTCGAAAAGCAACTCCCTGGCCTTCGTCAGTCTTAATAGTCTTTCTGGCGGGATGAACCACAGAGAGCTCCGCGCGATGGCTCTCAGCAGAAACGCCACTGAAACCAGATACCTGGCGAAGGCGATGAGCTTCGGAGGGAAAGCGCGCTCGCGCATAGTCTCCGTGTGCGATGTCACGCTGCAGTGCTCAGGGGCCGTGTGCTTCATATGATCCAGCAGGTCTACGTTCTGGCTGCTGGTATCGTCAACGTAGTCCGCAGAGAACAACCACTGACAGCCCGAACCAAAGTTTTCTCCAATGACTGTGCCAATTTCCATGTAGCTCTTTTCGAAGATGTAGCCGTAGGAAAGTTCGCCTTTGTGATACAAGCCGCCCTCTGTTAAGCCCAGCGGTACCCGCAACTCTCTAAGATGCGGCGCTTTCTGTAAAGTGACGTTATTCAAGAAACTGCGAGCTGCGTCGTCGAAACTGCCGAACATTTCTGCTGACAGCAGTGCTTGGTTGCGCAGCACGAATTGTGGCAGATGGAGGTAATGGTGTCTTGCGGTGCTGCTTCCGAACACTGACTGCGGTGAGAATTCGCCGGCCTGTGTTGACGCACAATGAGCCTCAACAGCTAAGAAGCCCGAAGTAACGTTCGCTACCTGACAGAAGAGCGCCTTTCCGCCGCCCTCATTTATGCGTGCCCCTGACGGCGCCGAGTACGCCGAACTCGGTGACACGAAGTGCCGGTCAGTGGCAGAGGGCACAACCTCCGTAATTGCAAGTCCCTCATCCAATGGTCTGACCCAGACGCAGATGTACGGGAGAAACGGGCGGAGCGGTCCGCTGAAGAGAGTAAGATCAGTGCGGCGAGCAATGCCGGCTGAAGCATCAGCAGTCTTGTGCCCCGGCTGCCAAGTAATGTCTGCACCGCGCACCAGCGGGAAGTACTTCGGGGAGACGTGCGTGACCAGATTGACGTCTTGAAAGGTGACCGAGAACGGCAGCGCAGAAACGTAGTCGGCTGAATCGAGCACTGCCCGAACAGACAGCGGAATAGCAGTTATGGGTTTGACGCACCGCGGCGAAGGGTCAATCCTGAAAACTAGGTTGGCTCGCAACACAATGTCAGACACAACCTCGACCGCACAGTTGGCGTCAGCTCTGCCAATCGGATAACCCGAGAACCGCACGAGCAGTGGCGAATTCATGGCATTGAAGTCCTCTCGTGTCGGATCGTCGTCGAAGCGACTTATCACATGCTCCTTGATGCAGCCGATGTAGCAGTGGAATTTGTAGACGTAAATTGTGAGCGTCTGGTTGATGTAGGCGCCAACGATCATCACCTCGTGCTCGCTCTTCAGCTGCCTTTTCGAGTTTTCCAAGAAGCGCTCCCCTATGCGCAGCTTGTTGGGATCGAAGGCGATGTCGTCGCGCGCGGTGGCAATGATGGTGTCGAAGGATACCGCATCGCCCCCGGAAAACCGCAAAACCTCCTGCGAGTAACCCGCGCTGTACCCAAGCATAGTCTGCAGCTCGTGGGGCGACGTCAATGGGTCGGATACATGCCGGATCTCAAAGGTCGGCAGGTAAACCTGCGGCGGCTCTCCGAGCCAGTAAATACGCGCACAAGCGCGCGGTTCAAAGAGAGAAATACCTGAGAAAAGTGAGGATGAACAATGATAGATGCAAACACAGGCCACCAGAGGAGAGATGACGATAAATCATGCAAACGCAGGGAAAAAGCTATGGCATCGACTCAGCAGCCAGTTGTAGCAGCACTTA